TATTTTCTGCATACAAATCCATCCTCAACCTACCTTCTATAGTTGGAAAGTAATTAATTGAAACTAATTTCTAATAATCAAAACACTGAACTAATTATTTCTAACAAACCTAACCATTATTAGTTGGCTCCTCACAATACCTTCCCCATGAGAGCATCCTTGTGGACAAGGACGAACTGGATTAACCTCCAGTCTTCATTGCCACCATAATTATGCATTCTCTGAACAGATGTGACACCTTAGAGAGGACTTCCATATTTTAATCTATGAAAGAAATTTGAAGTGGAATACGGTCTTGTGTGAAAAATCTTCGAGGAATGTAGCTAGACTAGTTTGATAGGATAAATTTGGTATAAACCCAAATATCAATCAATACAAGTTCACCTCCATCGTCCGCAAACATAATGAATTTTCTCTTATTTGCCATCAGTTGCCAAAAAACATACTATTTTGATGAAGGATTTTTTTTGAACTCCTGGTGTGCATGGTTAGGTAGAATCTTCTCATCAGCCTCATATAACTCTTCAGGAAAATTTCTCTACAGCTCTCTCAAATACTAGTCCATATTTCACCTGAATTTCATCTGCAACAATCAGAACTTCCATGTCTCCATGAACACCGGGCATAAGATTAGGTGAAGTTGGAAAAATCAATAGAAACAAATACAGAGAACATTATGGTTGGGGAATTTTAACAGGCACCTCATGCTCATTCACCGAGCCACCCAACATCTTTAACATGCTTTGGCTCCTCTACAGATTCATACAGCTTCTCAACCATCACGGATTCTACAATCCACTGTTATCTCTTCATCAACAGAAGAAAAATTTTCAATAAGAACTGGTGACAAAGTTGAAGATGATGGACAACTCTTCCACATGGTAGGAGAGAAGTGACGCCACACAATATTTTTTGTGTTTTGTTGAGTTTCTGTTCACGCAAAGCGGAAGTCATGACTGTAGAAGCTGATGCAGATGGTGGAGAAAAACAACAGCTCACTCGCGAGAACGTCTTCATTTCCTCAATCTTACAGTCCGATGGATGTTCGCCTCTTGTAGAGCAACCGTATGATCTAATTGAAACTCTGTCCAGCTTTGGCAACTTATGAGCAGATAAGTTCGACCAAATTGCTCTTTGTTTCTTGTGAAGCTTCTCCTGGTGCATTTACATTGGACAGTCGCGTGTTACCGCGCAGAATGTAACACCCAAATTTATTATTTTTATTTTTATTTTTTAATTTATTTTTATTTATATTAAAATTTTAGTTTAATTTTTAATATTTAATTTATAAAATTTTAATTTAATTTAATTTAAATTAATGAAAATAAAAATAATAATAATGATAAAATAGGGTAAAATTTATTTTTGGGATTTAATTGAAATTGATTTTAAAAAAAATGAGTGAAAATTTGAATTCTGATGTGTTTTTAAAAAAAAATCGAAATCGGGAGTCAAACGCATTTAGAAAGTTGTGTCACGTCAGCAGCCACGTCAGCAGCCCGGCTAA